CGTTCGCAAGAATTCAATTATTATCACAAATAATAAAATGCTTTTTAGGAATTCAATTATTTTCAAAAAAAATTTAATAAAATACCACACAGATATTCAATTATTGTCAAAAATTCTAATAGAATTCTTTGTAAAATTTAATTATTTTTTAAAACTTTTTGGAATTCAATAAAAATTCAATTAAAAAAGAATTCAATTCATTCAATTCAATGATTTTGAATATCTACTATTTTCATAAAATTTCTAAACAGAATTCAATTATTTAAAAAAAATTTTGTAAAAATCTTCGTAAGAATTCAATTCTTTTCATGAATAATAAAAATTGCTCAATAATTCAATTATTTTAATTATAATCTGCTTAAATTAGGCGAAAGAAATCAATTATTTAAAAATTTTTCAAAAATTCTTCGCAAGAATTCAATTATTTTTGTATAAATATTTAAATTCTTTGATGAATAATAAAATTAGTTGCAGGAATTCAATTTATTTGCAGGGTAAAAAAGAAGTAAATATTTTTAATAAAAATTAGGGAAAAGTCAGGAAAATAAAAGAATTTTTGTCAGTTTTGTGAAGTGTAATTAATTTAATTTTTAATTAATTAATTAATTAATTTTTTTGGCCTTATGTTTAATTTTTCGATATCTATTTTTTACCACTTTTTTTTTTTAGTTTAAAAGCTACTTTTTGCTACTTTTTGAAAATGAATTATCGAGTGCGAAGTCTGGTAAAAGAACTTTCTGATTTCTAACTATATAATGAGGGGACAATAAATTTTTTTCTCTCGATGAATATAATTCTGCCAGTTAAACGATTTAATCAAACAAAATTCCACATGTGCATTTGTTAGTGCTCGTGATTGTTTACCGTGATCGATGACTGCCCTATAAATCATTTTGTCTACTCATTGGTTTTAGTACTCACCAATATTCGCTAATCATCGCCATTGGCGTAGCTGTCTGTGTTAAGCACATACCAGTGTATATACTTAATACCCCTGTTTCCTAAACCCCATGACATTTTACCATAATCAATAGCAACTACCAAGCCTATAATATTCATTACCATTAACATGAATTTAATCAATAACTTTTACCTAAGGCATGCCTACTTTTACCTAAGGCATGAAAAGAATATTTACAAATTTAAATATCAATTCAAAAACAGAATTTATTTCCGCATGATAAAAAAAAAATGGAAAGACAATCAAAGCTTTGAAATTCGACTTAAAATGAAGCATTTAAAAACAATATATTCATCTGAAAAGTTGAGACTTTTTTTTATTTTTGATAGATTTTTCAACTAGAATGGTTTCAATTTTTATGACTGACAGGTTAATTTTAGTTCGGGGATTGAATTTGATTACCTGAAAACTAGTCAATTGTGAATATAATTATTTTTCATTCTCCTGAACCCAGACATCACAGTTTTTTTAATTAATTTTCTTTTCTTGTTAAACCACCTATGCATATTTGCTTGAAAACATTGTTGCGCTTTCTTCACTTCTAGAAACACTGAATCAAATTTTATCTAATGTATAAAATTTTGTTACTTTTATACAGAAGAAAAATTATTTACTACTATCATAAAAGTAAAAACAGGGATCGCAGATGCTTCCTTTTTTACCTAATTCTCTGTTTTTTTTACTTTATTTCCCTTTTCCCCTTTTTTATCCCCAAAATTAATTAACACCTAAAATTATAAATTTTCTACTCTTTTCCCATTATTTTTAGAAACAATACATTTTTAGGTAACAATTATTCAATTATTTTCATAGAAAATAAAATTATTCGTAAGAATTGAACTATTTTTATAAATAATAAAATTTTTCTCAAGAATTCAATTATTTTGAAAAATTTCAATAAAAATCTTCGCAAAAATTCAATTATTTTCATGGACAATAAAATTATTCACAATAATAATTCAATTTTTTCATAAATAATAATAAAATTGTTCCAAATAATTCAATTATTTTCAAAAGTTTTTATAAAATTCATCGCAAAAATTCAATTATTTTTGGAAATTTAAAAAAAATATATTTTGAAAAATTTTAATTAAATTCTGTACAAGAATTCAATTATTATTTTGAATAAAATTATTCACAATAATAATTCAATTTTTTCATAAATAATAATAAAATTCTTCCAAATAATTCAATTATTTTCAAAAGTTTTTATAAAATTCATCGCAAAAATTCAATTATTTTCGGAAATTTAAAAAAAATTGTAGTAAAGAAATCAATTATTTTGAGAAATTTTAATAAAATTCATTGCAAACATTCAATTATTTTCATGGATAATAAAATTATTCGTAAGAATTGAATTATTTTTATAAATAATAAAATTCTTTTAAGGAATTCAATTATTTTCCAAAGTAATCAAATTGTTCTAAAGAATTCAATTATTTTCAAAAATGTTCCTAAATTTCTTTTTTTTAAACTATATTCCCTTTTTGAAAATTAAAATCCTAATATGAAATACCTAACATGAAAAAATCAGTGTGATCCCTGAAAATATAAATTCAAATTAAATTTTTTATACCGCATTCACGAATAAAAAACAAAACGAAAAAAAAACAAGTGCGACATTGTTCTTATAATTACACCGTTAAAAATGTATTATATCAGAATAGAAAAAAAGAAGTGCACTTGTAGATGGAATTTCCAAAGTAAATGGCTTTCGAAGTAATGGCAAGAGTAAATAAGTAAATGGCTTCCTTAGAAGTATTGAATGAGATTCTTTTTGGACTTATTAAAAAGGGAATAAGAAAGTAGTTTGAATTATAAAGCAGAAAATTTTATTTTCTATTTAGTTACATTTAACATTTTTCTTTTATATTTGTGTTTAATTCGATATGGTCTCGGATTGATTGACTTCCCAAAAGTATTCAATTATTTTCATAGATAATAAAATTATTTACAATGAGAATTCAATTTTTCCGCAAAAATAATAATAAAATTTTTGGAAATAATTCAATTATTTTCCAAAGCTTTTATAAAATTCTTTGCAAAAATTCAATTATTTTTATAAATAATAACATTCGTCTCAAGAATTCAATTATTTTTTAAAATTCTAATAAAATTCATTACAAAAATTCAATTATTTTCATAATTAATAAAACTCATCGCAGAATTTCAATTATTTTTATTGTGCAATTTTAAATGAATTTTATGAAAATTTTATGAAAATTCTTCAAAAGAATTAAATTATTTTCAAAAAATTTGATATAATTTGTTTATTAGAATTTAATAATTTTTTTCAATTCATTTTTAATTAAATTTTTTAAAAGAATGTAATTGTCTTCAAAAATTTTAATCAAATTTGTCGTAAAAATTCAATTATTTTCAAAAAAATTTTGTACGAACTTAAATTTTCCTTAGAAACAATTAAATTTGTATTTTTACAAATTTTATTTTTTATTATTATTGTAATTGTCTTCAAAGATTTAAATAAAATTCGAATTCGAATTTTTTGAAATAATTCAATTATTTTCAAAATTATTTTTAAAATTTGTCGCAAGATTCAATTTTAAGAAATATTTAATTGTTCCATAAATTATTTATTTCTGTATTTAAATAATTGAATTCTCGTAGAATTTTCTAATAAATGTTGAATTTCAGTTAAAATTCTAGATAATAATTGAATATTTATATATAATCCTGTTTAAAATTAAATAAAGAAAAATTGGAAAGTGATAGTGAAAATTTTTAAATTAAATCTTAAAAGTTTTTTTGAATTGAAATCTGAATAAAAATTTTCAACAATTTTAATAAAATTCATGGCAAAATTTCATTTTTTTAAAAAAATTTCTTCAATTCAATGATTTTTACTAAAAATCGTGAGAGTCATTTTTACTGTTATTTGTTATGTAAAAATGATGACACTTATGGTTTTTAGAGTTGAGCCTTTTTTGAAATTCACGATTCAATTTTAATGGAATGTTTGCTAATATATAATTGTAATTAAACATTTTATTACTGAATTTCATTGAAATTTTGAGGAAATAATTAAATTCTTTTCATAATATTTTTACAGCTTTTGAAAATATTTGAATTAATTAAATGAATTTAATTAAAATATTTAAAATAATTAAATTCCATTTAAGAATTTTACCATCATTTTTTAAAATAATTAAATTCTTTCGAGTAATTTTATTAAAATTGTATTTAAAAAAATAATTTAATTTGTCACTTTTTTAAAGAATTGAATTCTTACGAAGAATTTTATTCAAATTTTTGAAAATAATTGAATTTTTACGAAGAATTTTGTCACTTTTTTAAAGAATTGAATTCTTGGGAAGAATTTTATCCAAATTTTTGTATTATTATTGAATTTTTTCGAAGATTTTAATTCAAATTTTTGAAAATAATTGAATTCCTGCGAAGAATTTTATTATCTAAGCAAATAATTCAACTCTTTCGGAAAATTTGATTAAAATGAAAAATTAAAATTAAAAATTAAATATTTTAATTCCTGTGGAGAAAGTAATGGATATTTAAATATTTATTGAAAGCAATTTAATCTATTTTTGAATGTAATTTAATTTAGAAATTTTAAAAAAATTGAGTCGTCAAATTTAATTTTTAGATGAGCTACTTTTTTAAAATTAATTACCGAGTACGAAGCCTGTATGTATATATAAACTTTAATTTAATTAATTTTATATAAAGTTGGCTTTAATAAATTTTATATAAAGTTTGATTTAGTAAATTTTATATAAATTTTGATTTAGTTAATTTTATATAAAGTTGGCTTTTGTAAATTTTATGTAAACTTTGATATAATTAATTTTCTCTAAACTTGGAGTGTTTAATTTTTGCTATAGATTTTTGGCCTTTGATTAATTTAGCCTTTGATTTAATGTACCTATTATTATTTTATTATTTTGTGTGTATGTAATTGAATAATTTTTCTCGGGCTGGTGGAATTTTTAACGGTGTTTAACTACTTTACTAACTAGACTAACTAGAGCACGTATTGTACGCTTCTCTTGTTTATGCACAGTTTTCCTGGTTTCTGTCGGCTTCGTATGCATACGAAGGGAGGCTCGCCAGTGGCCTTTGTCGAATATCAAGATGTTCGCTACGCGGCCCAAGCAATGGCCACTCTTCAAGGATCCCTTCTGGTCTCCTCCGACCGGGGAGCAATACGAATCGAATATGCAAAGTCAAAAATGGCCGAGGTGGGCTTTACAAATCTCTGGATCGAAGTAGGTTTCATTCTCTCTATGATAGGTTTACATTCTACGTGGGCCGATTTTACTTTTTTATTTTATTCTTTTCCGTTTCTTTTTTCAAAATATTTTTCAAACTATTTTTCAACTATCGGAACAAGGAATTTTTTTTTTAACTAAATTATTCATTTTTTGCTTCTTTTCCGGAAATCAGGATGGCCGCATGTCGGGAAAGAAAGACGAAAAATTTTCAATCAGATGTAAATCGAAGTTTTCGAAAAAATTAGGCAATTTTTTTGCGGCCAGCCTGAAATATAATTTTTTTCCGTCTTACAAGTGTCGTGTTTTCGATTGGGACAATGGCCAAGCTTTCGCTTTATAAAAAACGGATATTTTTTTTTATTTATGCTTCTTTGCCTAAGACATTCGTATATACTGGATGAAAAATTACTGAACCAGAGTTTTATATCTTGGCGTTACCTTTGCTGAGAGAAAAATGCGACCTATTTCATTTTTCATGGTCTGAAAATTTTGGCTTGAATAAACCAACGGAGACGTGAATATAATTTTTTTTTATAAATGATTCTAGATTTATATACTTTACGCCATGATTCCAAGACGAAAGTAGATCATTCCAAAAAAAAAATTGATAAATGGAAACTACAATTTTAGTTTAGTTTACAAAACTCGAGAGATAGTTAATACGGATAACTCTTTAATTTATAGCAGACTTTTCTCTCATAGCTTTTGGCGCAATTTTTATTTTCTTTTTTTGGGTTTTCGTTGCAGAATTCGGTTCGTTTTGCTTTCCTTGGTCGAAAATTTTGTTGAATTTTTAAAAACATTGAAAAAATAAGTAATAAATGAAAATTGATTGTTGTGACTCGACAAAATTTTCAATCACGACTTTACTTTAAAATTGCACTTTTTTTTTTGTATAAAAAATGCTTTTTATATTTAGTTCTGGCCACATTCCATTATTGAGAATTTGAATTCAATCCAATTTCCAATTCCTCAAAAAAATGTAAATATTTCACAAATTTATAAAATAAAAAAAAAGTATTTTGCAAAAAATAATTGGTAGAAAATGTAAATGTGTGTAAAAAGTAGCTAAAAGTGAAAGAAAATTATTCAATTTCAATATTAAGAAATGCAACTTAATTTGAAGATGGAATTTAATTTCTACGACCACAATTAGGGTTGCCACAAAAAATTATGTAATCTTGATTTTCCCTGATTTAAAAATTCAATTATATTAAAAATTTTAATAAAATCATTAGCAAGAATTTAATTATTTTTATAAATAATAAAATTTTTCACATCAATTCAATTATTTAAAAAAATGTAATAAAATTCATTGTAAGAATTCAATTATTATCATGAATAACAACATTTTTCATAAGATTTAAATTATTTTTTATTCAATTTTTAATTAATTCCTCGAGAAAAGTAATTATTTTTAAAAATTTTTTGCTAAGATTCAATTACACTTTACAAATAATGAAATTCTTTGCTGAAATTAAAATATTTTCAAAATCTACTATTTTAATAAAATTTGTCAAAAGAATTCAATTATTTAAAAAAATTTTAGTAAAATTCTTCACAAGAATTCAATTATTTTCATGGATGATAAAATTATTCGTAAAAATTGAATTATTTATAAAAATATTAAAATTCTTCTCAGAAATTCAATTATTATGAAAAATTCTAATAAAATTATTCGCAAGAATTCAATTACTTTCATAGACAATAAAATTATTCACAATAATAATAATTCAATTTTTTCATAAATAATAATAAAATTGTTCCAAATAATTCAATTATTTTCAAAAATTTTTATAAAATTCTTCATAAAAATTTAATTGTTTTTATAAATAATATTTGTCTCAAGAATTCAATTAATTAAAAAATTTAATAAAATTCTTTGAAAAAATTCAATTATTGTTATTAATAATAACATTCTTTGCAGGAATTCAATTATTTTTAATAGAATTTTAAGTAAATTCTTCGAAAACTGTAATTAATTCCAAAAATTATATTAAAATTCTTCCAAAAAAATTAAATAACAATTATTAATTATTTTTAATAATTTTTTGCAAAAGTTACTAGAGAATTTACAAATATATTTGTTTATAATTCAATAAATTTTACGAAATTTTGATTATTTGAAAATTCTTTCAAATATTTCAATTGAAATTATTGAAAAAAATATGGAAATATTGAAAATAATTTCAAAAAAAAATTTAATTAAAGTTTTTCAAAATTCAATTATTTCTAAAAATTTATGCTACATTGCTTTTAATATTCAATTATTATCTAAAATTCCAACTGAAATTCAATTATTTAAATTCAAAAATAAATAATTTATTAAATAAATGAATGTTTCTCTCAAAATTGAATTTTCATAAAAAATTCGGGTGTAAAATTGTATTGAAAATAATTGAAATTCTATAATGAGTTTTATTTCTCATGAAAATAATTGAATTCTAAAAAAGAATTTTTTAATTTCTGAACAGAATTGAATTATTACGAAAAAATTTGTAAATAATTGAATTCTTCCGAAATTTTTATTATTTATGAAAATAATTTCATATTTGCTTAGAATTTTATAAAAGTTTTTGAAAATAATTGAATTTTAAAGAAGAATTTTATTTTTCTTAAAGATAATTGAAATTTTGACGAGAATTTTTTTTAAATATGAAGATAATTGAATTTCTTCAAACATTTCTGTAATTTTTCTAAAATTCAAATTTTTTTTTGTTTTTAACTAAAATTCTTCTATAAATTAATAATTTAGAAAAATGACTCAAAAATTCAAAATTTTCTTATGAATTCTAAAAATTTAATTTTTTCCAGTACTTTTAATAAAAATCCCTGACTTTTCTCAGACTTGTAGCAACCCTGTCAATATTGAGCTTTTAAAAAATTAATAATTTCGTTAAATATAATTTATTTCCATCAAATTGAGTTTCAATTCCATCAAATAAAATTAAAAACCTATTGAAATTGAAAAATTCGCTAAAATAATAATAATTGAGTTTCATCAAATTTTATGACTGAGTGTTAATCTTTTTTTCAGGGATCAAAGGGAGAAGAAAACGGGCAACCTTAAAATCGACATCAACGGGATGTAAAAAAAAATTGAAAGTAACAAATTCCAAAGTGAGCCTGCTGCTTTTTGTGATTTTTAGAAAATCGGAAGAAATAGGAACTGAAAATCGACAACGACTAAAAAACCAACAAAGAAAAAAATCGTAAACGAAAAAGAAATCAGCAGCAACAAAAGACAAGAACAATCAAGAAAAGAAAAAAACGATTTTGAAGTCACTAGGAAAATTTTTTGCGCAACTCGGTGACTTCTTTCGAGAGAAAAAGAGAGAGGATATTGCTGATAAATTTAGGTATCTACCTATATATTTTTTAAAGCGAAATAAAACGCGAGCCGATTATTTATATTTTCGACGACGATTTAAAATAGGAAATTGACGGACGACGACCCAATTTTTTCGTGAAACATCGACCTGAATTTTTCTTTTTTAAACTATGATGGTCAGCAGCTTTTGAGTGCGCATAATATAGGCATAGGTACATTATTCGAATTCGATTCTCATTATTCTCGTCAGGACTATAATTGTTTCTCGAACGATATTTATACATATTATATATTCTCATTTTTATGACTGTCGTCCTATAATAATATAACGGTCTCGAGAAGGGCCGGTGAAAAAAAAAAATTCGTTTGTATGTAAAAAGGCACTGTTAAACTCACAACACCCGCACCACGTCGTATAACACTCTTATTATCGAATTGTAGGTAAATCGAGTATCTGATTGCGCAACAGCACGCGTATTACGAATTTTTCTTAGAGACACGCCTCCTCCTTCTCTTTAAAAAAGAATTTAATTTCCCAAAAATACCAAAAGTAATTTTCTTTCGAGTAAAAGATATTTCAGGATTGCCACGCAACTTAAAAACCTGGAAATGTCAGGGAATTTTATAAACCTTGAAAAAATCTGGAAAAATCAGGAAATTTGGATCGAAATCCTGGAAAATTGTTTTTTTCTAAAGTTTATTCTTGAAATCTAATTTTACATAAAGATTTCAAAATTAATTCAATTTTAAAAGCATTACGTTTACAATTTTCATAAGTATAGATGAATTTCAAAAAATTTTAATTTGAAATTTTGTAAAATTTCAATTTTCAATGAATTTCATTAGAAATTGTCTTAGAGAACGTAGATGTTTGAAAAATTTTAATTATTCCAATTCTTCTGAAATTAGTTAAATTTTTTAATATATATTTTTATGTGACTATTGAAAATAATAGATTTATAGAAGAATTTTAATTAAAAACACTAAAAGAAATTAAATTTTGAAGAAATTACAAATGATTGGAGAAATTCAATTATTTTCAAAAGTAGGAAAATTCTTCTTAGAAATTCAATTATTTCCAAACAATTTTAAAAAAATTCATGGCGAAATTTCAATTATTTTCAAAAACTTTCCTCAATTTTAAAAAGGTTTCAAATAATAAAATTTTTCTCAGCAATTCAATTATTTTTAAAAATTTTAATATTTGTTTCAAAAATTCAATTATTTTCACAATAAAAATTTCACTGGAATTCAATTATTTTCATAAATAAAAAAACTCATAGCAGACTTTCAAATATTTTTAAAACAATTGAAAAAACTAAATTATTTACATAAAATTCTCGTCAAAATTTCAATGATCATTATCAATTTTTCTCCAAAATTCAATTATTTTCAAAAATTTTAATAAAATTCTTGGCAATATTTCAATTATTTTCAAAAACTCTTATAAAATTCTTTGGAGAAATTTAATTACATATTTTTAATTAAAACAGGGAAAAAGTCAATGTTTTGTCTGGAAATCAGGGAGTTTGGTAAAATGAAAAATAGAATTAAAAATTAAAATTAAATTAAAATTAAAAATAAAATTTGGTATACTATAAATGTAATTTTATAAACCTGGAAAAATTTCGTTTTTTAACCTGGAAAAGTTGGAAAAGTCATGGATTTTGAAATGAGGAAAAGCGTGGCAACCCTGATTATTTTCTCAACTGCAATATCTTTTACTGTTAGATTTACATTTTAATTCTAATTTGTAGAAAAAAATTCTTTTGGACAATTGAACCAATTTTGTGATTAACTAGAGAAATTAAGGGAAATTAGCAATTGTATTTTAATTTCTCGAAGGGCGAGAGGCGCTTCTCTCTGTATATAAAAAAATATAGAAAGAAGAAGTGATATTATCGAGAGAGGAAAGCAATGATTTTCTATATAAAAAATCTGCCTATAGAAGATACGCGTGCGAAGTGGAGAAAAACAAAAAAGAAAAAAAAATAAATAAAAACACGAACAGCAAGCTTAATACCAAAGGTGCCCTACTAAGAAAACATGTATTTACGTTTTATCATCTGCATCGTGAAGGCGAAAGAGATCTTGTTAAAGAGAGAATTTAATTGTCATAATAGGAAAAGAGGAACGTGGGTGAGTGAGAGAGAGAGAGAGAGAGAGAGAGAGAGCGAAAACGAGAGTAAGCAAGAAAGAGTATTAAGTAATAATTTGTATAACGAATGCAAAACATATCATAGGATAAAAGTCCTTATAGTGAAAGAATACAAACATATCTTAGGATAAGAATTCTTAGTGAAAATTTTAAGTATAAATATAGCAACTTATATCGTATAACAATTTGTCTCTAATAATACGATATATATTATATATATTATATTATAGGTGTGCCCCGTGTGCTAGAACGACAGCCAACTCGGCATGTAATTTGCATAAGTGCCTTCCTGTTGGTCAAGTCTGTACCATAAGTTACTTCATAATGTCAATGTCGATCCGACTTTAACCCGACCCGATCCGATTTTTCATCACTAGAGAACAAATTTTCGATTACCCGATAGACAAAAAAAAAGTCCGATTATAATCAATAAAAATCCAATTTTTAACAAAAAAAAGAGGAAAATCTGCAAAATCTGATGCAAATAATTGAAAGCAAAAAACCAAACATCTATATTAATAATCGTTGTATTCCGGTAATCTGTTCGCTGTTTGAAATTGGTTATTACTTACTTTTTGTTTTCTAACTTTTTAAAATAATTTTTTTTTTTAAATGTCTTCGATTTTAAAATTAATGTCTTGAAAAGCATTTAATTTTTACGAAAAATTTTATCAAAATTTTTGAAAATAATTGAATTATTTCGAAGAATTTTATCAATTTTTTGAAAATAATTGAATTATTTCGAAGAATTTTATCAATTTTTTAAAAATAAGTGAATTCCTTCGAAGAATTTTATTAATTTAAAAAAAAAGAATTTTATAAAACTTTTGAAAATAATTGAATTCCTTCGAAGAATTTAATCAATTTTTTGAAAATAATTGAATTTATATGCGAAGCTTTTTCCTTCGCATCAATTCAATTATTTTAAATAAAATTTCTTTGTTTTATTATTTATGAAAATAATTCAATTCTTTAGGGTAATTTTATTAAAATTGTATTAAAAATTCCTGTGAAGAATTTTATTCAAATTCTTGAAAATGATTGAATTCTTCCGAAGAATTTTGTCATTTTTAAAAATAATTGAATTCTTGTAAAGAATTTTATTTAATTTTTTGAAAATAATTGAATTTTTTCGAAGAATTTTGTCATTTTTAAAAATAATTGAATTCTTAAGAAGAATTTTATTTTCTAAGAAAATAATTGAACTCTTTCGGGAAAGTTGATTAAAATTGAAATAGTATTGAGAATAATTGATTTCTTACGAAAAATTTTACCATTTTCGAAAATAATTGAATTCTTCCGGAAAAGTTTATTATTTTTGAAAATAATTGAACTTTTAAAAAGAATTGTATTATTTATGAAAATAATTTTTTTTTAATAATTCTATTCAAAGTTTTTAAAACTAATTAATATTAAAATTTTATTGAAAATAATTGAATTATTGCCAAAAATTGAATACCTTTCAAAATAATTGAATTGTAGTGAAGAATTTTATTAAAAGCTTCAAAAACAAAAAAAATTCTTTCAAAAATTTGTCTTAAAATTGTAAGGAAAATAATTCAATTCTTAAAAAAAATTTTGTTATTTTTGAAAATAATTGAATAATTTCAAAGAATTTTATTCAAATTTTTTTAAAATAATTGAATTTCAGCGAAGAATTTTATTATCCATGAAAATAATTGAACTCTTTTGAAAAGTTTGCTTAAAATTTAATTAAAATTGAAAATAATTGAATTTTTAATCAAATTTTAATCAAATTTGAAAATAATTGGATTCTTGCGAAAAATTTTATCAATTTTGCAAATAATTGAATTATTTCGAAGAATTTTATTCAAATTTTTGAAAATAATTGAATTCCTGCGAAGAATTTTATTATCTAAGAAAATAATTGAATTCTTGACAAGAATTGAAAGGAAATTTTTCAAAAAAATTTGTTTTATTTCGAATTATTTCAGTAAAATTTTAGAAAATAAAAATCGATTATGTAGTTAATATAGTTGAATTATTTTTAAATTTGTGAGTTTAAAATGAATCAAAAATTGAAGTTGATTTTTGAAAAATAAAAAATTTTGTAATTTACATAAAAATAATAAGTTGAACACTACGTTTTAATAAATTTGCCATTTTTCAAAAAAAATCCAATGAAATAAAAATTCAACTCAAGAGATAATTCAAAAACGAATATTTTGTAATGAATGATTTTTTAATGAAAAGTAAAAGCCAATGAATCTAATAATTAAGTGATAACTAATTTCAAACAAAAATAACCAGTTTCAAACAAAATTTTTCAAGAGGCGAACAAAAAAAGGGAATAAATTACCATCATTGACGAAAATTTTTAACATGATTTAAAGTGGATTTCTATTGATTATATTTGGCTTTGTTTCCTTGATTAGAAAAGGAGAGGAAATAAATTACTGGGCATTTATTACACGCATCCGCAATTATAGATAGCGACGAAAAATAACGACGATGCCGTGGTAGTTTCGAGTAATTAATCGTAATCCGCCGACAAGAATCTCTCGACATTGTAGGTAGTAATAAGGGGGGAGGGGAAAATAACTGAAAAATGACGAGAAGCAAGAATCTCTTTGGTTTTAGTGCGCGCCGCAGTAATCACGGGCCGGTAACAAAAGAGAAAACCGGAAAATCTCAACTTCCCGACTTTTAATACCGTCCTGGAGCTGAAGTGTGAGATTCTCAGATTTCCCCCCAGATTTAAGGGATTCTTTCCACTTAATTTTCTCTGTCTTCTCGAATCTCATGCAATTTTCAATTTAGACGAGTGATAAATCCAATAGGCGAACAAGTTCTATTTTCAGAACGAAAAAAAAAAAAAAATTATTTCTCAATTGGACAGGAGAATAAAAAATTGCAAAATTTGTCCGTTATCAAGAGTAGTCAAATTAACAAACCACAGATGCCTTTTTTGATTTGTTATCGCATTTTCTCGAAATGATTATTATTATTATTATATCTTCTCGATTATTATCAGTCTATGAGAATGTTAATTTCTAATGTATAGGTATTTTTACGAGGAAATGTTGATTAGTTAGTTGTAGAATTCTTGTGCAAGACACGAATAATCCACTTTTTGATTAGACTTACCTCACGCTAAGCAAGCGAGATATCGAGGAGTTGATCGAGAAGAAAGAAAGGAAGTAAGGGCATGGCACGTACAAATGCTTGACTGTAACCGTTACAGAGTAATATAATTATCCTCGGAGAGCCGTAAACGAGTCCGCGATCCATCGTTCTGCTTTCTTTTCGATTCCTCTCTTCGTCGACGCATCGACGTTTTCCTGTTCCGACACGGTAAATTTAGATGTTTTACTCGCTCTTTGATTTCTGAGTTTCAACCCGATTTTAATTGCGAGGCAACAACATTCCTTTCGTGAAAAACGAGTAAACGAAAGCGCATTTCCAAATAAAAGAAGGGGGAAAAAATGGAAATAACGAATAAAAGAGTGAAAGCAGGACAGGGTTGCCACAAAATT